GTTTTGTTTTGTTTCATTTTCTGTAGAACCAACTTTTGAAGTGAAGTAGGAAACTCTTCCTTGCCCAATGGATGATTTGTGACTTTGGTAAGAATTTGGAATAGGGTATCTGATTCTAAGTGTAATTTACACAACTGACTTAATTGAAGTCTCTTCCAAAGAGGTGTTACAGCCAAGTTCTCAAATCATATATCCTTCAGCTACTAGTATTCTTTAAATTGAAGCAAGTTCTAATTTTAGGCTCCCAACTAAGTCTTTATCCTAAGATTCTCAAGTATCAATGACTAAACTACAATTTAATGTTCTAGTTCATTAACTTGGTTGCATTTAATCTAAGTATTTTTCCCCAAATGCCTCATTTTATTGATTTTCTCTTTTTAAGGAAAAATCTCTGCAAGATAATTTTCAGTGTCACCTAATGATAGCAATCTGAAATATTCAAGAAGTAAATTAGAACTTTTATCATAACTTTTGACAAAGATTATATGCTAATAACCCAAACCAGAAATTAAAATATCATTGTTTATCATGTATTTCCATTGATTTAATTACTTACTTAGATCTTTCCAATATTTCATGTATACACTATGTATTTGCATTTGTATTTAACTTTTCTTGAATCTTCCAAAGGATACTTTAACAAAACCTAATATTTTATCTATGTGTGTGTGTCTGTGTTTTTCTAGACTCAGGCCTATAGTAATAACACTTTTCACAAATTTTCTATCCTCATTATTTGAGATCTATAGTACTAATCAGGGCTGGTGCTGTATTCACTGTGCCACCTGGCTGCCCCAATTTTTTTTTATTCTTGGAATGGGGCCTGGAAATGATACTGTAGGCACAAATTATTCATATCTGCCATAATCCAGTCTTTATTTCAACTATCTACTCTAAAAATATCTCAAAGAACTTTAGGATTACAAAGACAGTTTGAAAATGATAGGTGAAGACCACACTAAATAATATTTCACATTTACTTGGCATTGGTCAGAATTTGAATATGAGTAGGAAGACAACAATAGAAATCAATATACCCATGAATGAGCTTGAGAAGCCTAAATCCTGTACTCATTCTACAACTGTTTTTCTGACCCCTACTCCTATCCTATATTCCTTCCTTCCCCTCTGTCAATAGGGGAGTTTTGCTTTAATTCTTATGTGTTTGTCATGCTAAAATCAGCCTCCTTATGCTTCTGTTTCTTCATTATAGACATCCTGTGCAAAGTCAGGTAGAACAGGAGAGTTTTGCAGGCTATTAGTGACCTCTGCACTAGATGAACTTACATAGGGAAGAAAGACTTTGAGCTAGACAAATGTAAATATTTTCTGAAGGATTAAATGAAGGAAAAACAGAGTGAGTTTATAGGAAGAATCACAGAATCTTAGAGTTGGAAGAAACTTTACAGGTTGAATAAAACCAATGAAATTATCTAAGTTTTAAATATCAAATAATATATGTCATTTAGAAATTACATTCGTATTATGGATGCTATAGGAAATTCATTAGAGTCCATAAAAGTTCCATTAATATCAAGAAAAAAATGTGATTTGTATACATCTCTCATTGCTAAATCACTTCCCTGTGCATTCACATCTCTTTTCTTATTTAGATTGAACTGTAATAGATGAGTAAAATTTTAAAAAATATATGAGATGCCAAAAATAACTACCAAAGGAGACCTTGTAAGAGGGCCATGGTAGATGCTGATAACAGAAAAAGCCTCTTACATAATTGAAAGTCAAATTATGGTTGTCTCCTCTTATTTAGGCAGTTACAGATTGTGCCAATCTTATGATACAAAAATCTCCCCCAAACAACTTGATACGTACATACCAAAAGCATTTCACTAATAAATGTGAAAGGACTTGAGTAAAACCCTGCAAATCACTTTGAATTCTAGTGAGGTTTTTTTTAAAGCTCTTTTAATGACTTCTGAGATGAAACTCAATTAAGGAAATATCACTAGCATGATATTTAAGCAAGTCTAACAGATATGTTAAAAGCCTCCAGCAATTTAGATTGGCTTAATAATTTCTGGTGGTGTTACTAGTACAAGTTCACCAGACTGGCTCATCAATAAAATATGCAAAATGGGTTGAGTGATGAAGTAATCAAAGTTTTACTAGCATTACTATTGTTAAATAAACCAGATTCTTACTGCAATATTGCCCCAGGGCATTGTGCTATGGGATAGCCTTATTGGTAAAATTGCTTTATTCTTTATGATGACAGGTATGTGGGGGAGGGGGATTTGGAATTACTATAACTAAATACCCCTGAATAATGTTTAAGATAGGCCAATCTCATAATGAATTCCACACTGTGGTAAAAGTGGTTCTATAGCAAATACATTTTGGATTGTAAAAATGGATGAAAAATATTTTAGGGAGAAAAACAAAGTTACAAAATGATGTCAATTAATGAGAAGGAAAAAAAATTGCATATATAATATCAGAATACTATTACAGAATATATAATGTAGTAGAACAATATATATTCATATATAATTCATATGATATATATTTATATAACATATATATGAAAAATTCTACATAAGCCACAGAATGAGAAATCTTTAGAAAATATCTCATTCACTTCTAGGAATTTTTTTCTATTCATTACCCACAAAACTTTGTTCAGAAAGATTGATTACTTTGGGCAATTAAGTTTTTCAGATACAAGAAAATATTTTTCATAAGGTTCTCATTTGGAAGCCTGTGAAGTTCTTACCTATTTTTCATAATGGAAAATACCTATGAAATAGAGAATACTCAGCATGCTATTGGAAAAACAGTGATAGTATTTGAAAAATCTATGAGCTTACATTCTCATCTAAGAAAAATTTATCACAATCAATGGAACTCTATTTCACACTTTGTTGCCCAAGTGTGGTAGATTGTATAGGATCATTGAGTAAGTTGCAGATTAAAATATTTGAAAGGCTCAACGTGGTATTTAAAGTCAATGCAACTCTTGTGTCAGAGATTCCCTTCTGAGGAGAGCCCAGGTACATCTTAGGCCTATATAATGATGACAATGGAGCCTTGGGTCACTGTGTTAGAGCTATGGTGATGCCTCAAGTTTCTCTACCTATTTATTCTGATCCCTAAACCCCTCCTTCCACACAAAGCATCTCTTCTAACAGTTTTAGACAAGCTGTTTTCTTGGACCATTTAAAGAACTCTTAAGGTTTTTGTTTTGGATATTTTTTTGAGATGAGTCTTTAATTCTATCCAGATCATCCTGATATGCTTCTGGTCTGTCATTTATTTAGTCACAAGCATTTCTTTCTTCACACTTCTCTGAAGCAACTGAGCCAAATTACATAAGTTTCACTAGGCTGCTTCCTCCAAGATTTCTATTAGATGGTGATCTCCTTGAAAGAAGGGAATGGGATTTGATATGGGGGAGGAGGACTTGCCTTTCTTGATATCTCTAATACTTAGCACAGTGTCTGGCACAGAGTAGGAACTTAATAAATGCTACTTAACTGACTGACTTCAAAAGGGAGGCTAAAGGAGCAGAAACAGAAATTCATGGCACATAAAATGGGCATATGTGACTACTCAACAAGAAGTTAACTTATTTCCCTCAAGTATAATTGTCAAATCACATTTTAAAACTGTGTTCAAATGATAATCATATACCACAAAGGAGAGAAAAACATGTGAGAAATAATAAGAAATATTTAATATGTGGTAAGGTTTCTTTATATGGAGAGATTAAAAACCCAAGATGATGTCATTTCAAATGCTTCTGAAATCAACTGGACATTTATCTAAGCCAAAGGTTACAAAGAATGTTGAGCATAATGTACTAAATAACACTCTAAAGTTTGTCTTCACAATCACCATACAAATTATTGTTTTAACTCATAAAACAGCCCTTGAAACCTATCAACAGCAGAACTCATCCAAATATAATAAAATCCAAGACTACTACTTAAAAGAACAACTAAGGCATGCTCTAAAATATAACAATAAGTGAATTACCAAGCATCAGAAATTAGCATTCTGTGTATTATTTATTCATTGTTTGTCTTTTGTTCTTGAGGAGAACTATGACAGCAGGAAGGTGATGCCATGACTTGTAAGTGAATAGGATTTAAGTAAGGAAGGGCTGTGCAAAGTCACCAGCCTCACTCTCTCCTCTAGAGCTTTCTGGTTCCAGTGGCAAGACATTGATCAGGACAACTGGAGATGGGCCCGGATGCAGTGTGGCCCTGGGCATATCACTTAACCTCTGTTTGCCTTAATCCACCAACTTAAATTGAAATCATCACTGACTTCTTATAAGTATTAACCAGGTTGAAAATGTTTGGGAAATATGAGAGAATGGAATATAAGGTCTGGGAGAGACAGAGGTCATCTAGTTCAATCTCCTTCCAAATTCAGAAATCACTCCTACAGTATCAATTAACATGCATTTATTAAGCACCTACTTTTGCTAGGCCACAGCTAAGTGCTGTGAATACAAAACTAAAAATGAAACAGCTTCTATCCTCAAGGAGCTTACATTCTTTTGAGTGATAAAACATGGGACACATAAGTATATGTACAAAACACGGAAAAAAATTTTACAAGGCAATTTTTTTTACACAAGCAGCTGGGAAGCAGTCAAGAAGGGCTTCATATAGAAAGTGATCCTTGAGCTCAAATTTGAAGGAAACTCTATACCAGGAAGTATAAATGAAGAAGCATATTCTAGGAATGAACAAGAACCAATGGAAAGGAAGGGAGATAAGTGTCATGTGTGAGGGGCAGAAAGGAAGCCAGTTTGGCTGGACTTCAGTATGTGCAAAGGGGAGTAATATGTAGTAAGGATGGAAAGATGGGATAGAGTCAAGTTGTGAAGTACTTTAAAGGCCAGAGGAGTACAAACATCATTCTAGAAGAAACATTCCTTATGCCCATATCCCTGAGCAATAGGCATCCATCCTCTGGATGAATATTTTCTATAATCAGAATTTACTATTTTGTAAGAAAAACTGTTTTACTGGTAGACACTTCCAGTTATTATGAAGGTTCTGAGCTGAAATCTGCTTTTCTGTCATTTCCAATTATTGTTGTCCTGTTTCTACTTCTGCCTTTCCAGACTTTACCACAATGGCTCAGCTGCCAGCTCACACTGGAACATCCATCTATTGCATCACACTTCTCACCTTGGAACCTCCTGTTGCCTTGCTGGCCCACTTCTCCCATTGTTGAGTTTGTCACAATCACCCCCAGTTTGGGAAGGGCCAAGTGTGATCAGCCTTCAGGTCCTTCCTACTTCTGCATATGACATTCTGAAGGTGTGATACCATGCCTCTACAAGAATACCTCCCCCAGGGAAAGGAGAAAGGAGAAATAAAAGCATAAATGGGTGGGAGGGAGAAGGATGGAGAAAAAGACACAGATAGCAATCATAACTGTGAATGTGAATGGGATGAACTCTCTCATAAAATGGAAATTGATAGCTGAATGGATTAAAAACCATAATTCTACAATACGTTGTTTACAGGAAACACACTTGAAAAGGAGTGACACATATAGTGTAAAGGTAAAAGGCTGGAGCAGAATATATTATGTGTCAGCTGAAGTAAAAAAAAAAAAAGCAGGTATAGCAATCCTGATCTCAGACAAAGAAAAAGCAAAAATAGATCTTATCAAAAGAGGTAAGGAAGGAAACTACATCCTGCTAAAAGGCACCATAGACAATGAAGTAATATCATTACTAAACATATACGCACCAAATGGTATAGCACCCAAATTCTTAGAGGAGAAGTTCAGGGAGTTATAGGAAGGAATAGACAGCACAACTATACTTAGTGGGGACCTGAACCTCCCTCTCTGACTAGATAAATCTAACCACAAAATAAACAAGAAAGAAGTTAAGGAGGTGAATAGAACATTAGAAAAGTTAGGTATGATAGACCTCTGGAGAAAACTGAATGGGGATAGAAAGGAATATACTTTTTCTCGGTACATGGCACATACACAAAAATTGACCATGTACTAGGGCATAAAAACCTCACAATCCAATGCAGAAAGGCAGAAATATTAAATGCATCCTTTTCAGATCATGATGCAATAAAAATTATATGTAATAAAGGGCCATGAAAAGATAGACTAAAAAATAATTGGAAACTAAATAATCTAATCCTAAAAAATGATTGGGTCAAACAACAAATCATAGAAACAATCAATAATTTCATTCAAGAGAATGACAATAATGAGACAACATACCAAAACTTATGGGATGCAGCGAAAGCAGTTCTTAGGGGAAGTTTTATATCTCTAAATGCTTACATAAATAAAATAGAAAAAGAGGAGATTAATGAATTGGGCATACAACTAAAAAACTAGAAAAAGAACAAATTAAAAATCCTCAACTAAACACCAAATTAGAAATATTGAAAACCAAAGGAAAAATTAATAAAATTGAAATTAAGAAAACTATTGAACTAATAAATAAAACTAAGAGCTGGTTTTATGAAAAACCAATAAAATAGATAAACCTTTGGTTAATTTAATTAAAAAAAGAAAGAAAAAACCAAATTACTAGTATCAAGAATGAAAAGGGTGAAGCTACCACCAAGGAAGAGGAAATTAAAACAATATTTAGGAATTATTTTGCCCAACTATATGCCAACAAATTTGACAATCTTAGTGAAATGGATACATATTTACAAAAATATAAATTGCCCAGATTAACCAAGAGGAAGTAAAATACTTAAATAACCCCATCTCAGAAAAAGAAATTGAACAAGCCATTGATGAACTCCCTAGGAAAAAATCTCCAGGGCCAGATGGATTTACATGAATTCTATCAAACATTTAAAGAACAATTAATTCCAATACTATATAGACTATTTGGGAAAATAGGTGAAGAAGGAGTCTTACCAAATTCTTTTTATGATACAAATATGGTGTGATACCTAAACCAGGAAGAGTCAAAATAGAGAAAGAAAATTATAGACCAATTTCTCTAATGAATATAGATGCAAAAATTTTAAACAAAATATAGCAAATAGATTAGCAACTTATCACAAGAATAATACACTATGACCAGGTAGGATTTATACCAGGAATGCAGGGTTGGTTCAATATTAGGAAAACTATCAGCATATTGAGCATATCAACACCAAAACCAACAGAAACCACATGATCATCTCAATAGATGCAGAAAAAGCTTTTGATAAAATACAACACCCATTCCTATTAAAAACACTAGAAAGCATAGGTATAAATGGAGTCTTCCTTAAAATAATAAATAGCATCTATCTAAAACCTTCAGCAAGCATTATATGTAATGGGGACAGGCTAGAAGCATTTCCAATAAGATCGGGGTGAAACAAGGATGTCCATTATCACCACTGTTATTCAATATTGTACTGGAAATTAGCTTTAGCAATAAGAGAAGAAAAAGAAATTGAAGGCATTAGAATAGGCAAAGAAGAAACAAAGCTATCACTCTTTGCAGATGACATGATGATATACTTAGAGAATCCTAGAGAATCAAGTAAAAAACTACTTGAAATAATAAACAACTTTAGCAAAGTTGCAGGCTATAAAATAAACCCACATAAATCATCAGCATTTCTATATATTACCAACAAAGCCCAACAGCAAGAGATAGAAAGAGAAATCCATTTAAACTTACTGTAGACATTATAAAATATTTAGGAGTCTACCTCCCGAAACAAACCCAGGAACTCTATGAACACAATTACAAAACACTTTTCACACAAATAAAATCAGATCTAAATAATTGGAAAAACATCAGTTGCTCATGGGTAGGCCAGCTAATATAATAAAAATGACAATCCTACCTAAGCTAATTTACTTATTCAGTGCCATACCAATCAAACTACCAAAAATTATTTTATAGAGTTAGAAAAAATAATAACAAGATTCATTTGGAAAAAAAAGGTCCAGAATATCAAAGGAACTAATGAAAAGAAATGCAGGGGAAGGTGGCCTAGCAATTCCAGATCTTAAATTGTATTATAAAGCAGCAATCATCAAAACTGCTTGGTACTGGCTAAGAAATAGGGAGGTGGATCAGTGGAATAGGTTAAATATGCAAGACACAGTAGTCAATGACTATAGTAATCTATTATTTGATAAACCCAAAGACCCCAGCTTCTGGGATAAGAACCCACTCTTTGAAAAAAACTGCTGGGAAAACTGGAAAAGAGTATGGCAGAAACTAGGCATAGACCCAAATCTCACACCATATACCAAAATAAAGTCAAAATGGGTTCAATTAGATATAAAGGCTGATACTATAAGTAAACTGGGAAACAAGGAATAGTTTACCTATCAGATCTATGGAGAACAGAAGAATTCATGACCAAACAGGAGATAGAGAACATTATGAAAAGCAAAATGGATAATTTTGATTACATTAAATTGAAAAGTTTTTGCACAAACAAAGCCAATGCAACTAAGATTAGAAGGAAGGTAGAAAATTGGGAAAGAATTTTTACAACCAGTCTCTCTGATAAAGGCCTCATTTCTAAAAATATAGAGAATTAAGACAAATTTATAAGAACACAAGCCATTCCCCAATTGATAAATGGTCAAAGGATATGAACAGACAGTTCTCAGATGAAGAAATTAAAGCCATCTATAGTCATATGAAAAAATGCTCTAAATCATTATTGATTAGAGAAATGCAAATCAAAACAACTCTGAAGTACCCCTTCATACCTATCAGATTGGCCAACATGACAACACAGGAAAATGATAAATGTTGGAGAAGATGTGGGAAAATTGGAACACTAACACATTGTTGGCTGAGTTGTTAAATGATTCAACCATTTTGGAGAACAATTTGGAACTATGCCCAAAGGGCTACAAAAATGTGCATACCCTTTGATCCAGCAATAGCACTTCTAGGGCTATATCCCAAAGAGATCAACAAATGGGAAAAGGACCCACATGTACAAAAATATTCATAGCAGCTCTTTTTGTGGTGGCAAAGAATAGGAAATTGAGAGGATGCCCATCAATTGGGGAATGGCTGAGCAAGTTGTGGTATATGAATGTAATGGAATACTATTGTGCTATAAGAAATCATGAACAGGCTGACTTCAGAAAAACTGGGGAAAGACTTTTACGGTCTGATGCTGAGTGAAATGAGAGAACCAAGAGGACATTGTACACCATAACAGCCATGTTGTGTGATGACTAATGTTGATTAACTTAACCCTTCCCAGCAATACAAGGATCTCAGAAATCTCCAGAGGCCTAGTGATGGAAAATGTTATCCACATCCAAAAAAGAACTATGAAAGTTGAATTGCTATTTTTTTCCTCTTCTGCTCAGTTTTGTTTCCTCTTTCTGATGGTTCCTCCTATTAGTTTTAATTTTTACTTACAACACCACTAATGTGAAAATGTTTAATAGGAATCATAATGTATAGCCTATATCAGATTGTGTGCCATCTTGGGGAAGGTGGTGGGGAGGTAGGGGGAGAAAAATTTTAAATTCAAAAGAGTATGGAAATGATTATTGATAAATCAAAATAAATTAATAAAATTATAAAAAAAGAATACCTCCCCCCTACCTTGCCTTTACAACTCTTTTGTGTGTTGTCTTCCCCCATTAGAATGTAAACACCTTGAAAGCAGAGACTAACTTTCTTTTTTTGCTTTTATTTGTATCCCCAGTGCTTAGCACAGTACCTGGCATATAGTAAGTGGTCAAGAATGATTTGTTGCCTTGCCTTAGTTGTTCGATATTCATAATCTCAAACAACTCAGAAGTCTCCTCCCTCTTCTGTAGAATGGTCTTTCAAATATTTAAAGAAAGCAGTTAGAACTTTCCTTTACCTTCCTTTCTCCAACTTAAATATGGCCAAATCTTTCAAATGTTCCTCACATGACTCATTCTAAACTTCTCACCATCCTCATTGCTCTCATCTCAAGTTTTGTCAATCACTCAATCACAAGCATTTACTGTACTATACCCCTTCTAATACTTAGCTTGCAGAGTATGACACAAAATAAAATGTTCCAGTTGTGTTCTGACCAGCTTAACAATGGTACTATTACTTCACTTGACCTAAACTCTCTAATTCTAAGTATGAATTC